GGAAATTCAGGCTCGCCGTATCATGAAACAGGGAGGAAAACAAGTTCCACAAGTGTTGGTTCAATGGTCGGACTCTACTCCTGTAAAGGCTGTCTTTTTTGAGTTCTGCTGTTGATTCTGATATACTAATGGACCAAGGTCATACTTAAGTATCTAGAGAAATATACTATGGATCACCTTTAACCTTTTTATAATTAAGCTTCTAGAATAAGTCATCTTTCTTTCTGTTGCACTTTTTGCCATGCGTGTATATGGGGGGGGGGGGGAGGAACCAAATCTTTATATAATGGGAAAGAATGTCGGGAGTAAGGGTGTAAATGATACGCAGGGCCGTCCCAGGGCGGTACGGGCGCACGTCCAGGGCCTAAAAATATCAGGGGCCCAATTTTTTTTCTTAAAATACAATAGTAGTTTAAAAAAATTTAATAAATTAAAGAAACCCAAAAAATTGTACCATATAATATGTGGCAAAAAGAATTTAGTAGATAATAAGGGCTAAAAAATATAACAACTAATTACATTTGAGAATAAAGTAAAAAAAAAATTAATTGATCATTTATTATATGTTATTGTTTCTTGCCACTCAACTTTTTTTTATCTCCAACAAGGTCCAATAATATTGGTTATTGATATCTCTATATGGTTGATTGTTTTCGCGCTTCAACAATTCAACGTTAAGATCATATGTTTGCTATTGCTATATTTTTGTTGGATATTTTTATCAATTTCTGCTTCTATTGACTATTGCTCTTTGGTTATGTTGTTCTAATTGTTTTTGTTGACTATTATTATCTAATTTTGCTTCTATATAAAATATTTTACTATTGTTTGACAATCAATCTATTATTCTTATAATTTGTGAAGTGTTTCATGGTTTTGTGATTAATCAAAAAAAATTTCTACCAGATGTATTTAGCAATGTCTCTTATATATGTCATGTTACATAAACTTTTAATCTTAACATCTTATTTTAGTTGAGCAAAAAAAGAAGGAAAATAGAATTTAAATATTTTTATCAATTGTTCGACTTATGAATTTTTCAAATTACCTAATAAGAAGTACTTAAATTTAAGTATTCTCTTATCTATCTATAATAAAGATAAAAAATGATTTCTTTCCTCAGTAAATTATTAGCATTTCTTGTACTCAATTTTATACTAATAAAAAACATTTATTGAATTTATTTTCGTACTTACTAAGGGTCACTACAAGAAAAGTGAACTCTGACGATGTGCCTTTTAGCGATGACATGTTTCCGACACAAATTATAATGACGACATGTTGTTATATACTATTTCTGATGATAAATGGACTTTTAGCGACGACAAAAGTCGTTGCTAAAAGTCTTCTTTCTTGCAGTGGGCCCTGTTTTTATGTTCGTCCAGGACCCATAAAATGTCAAAAACGGGTCTGATGATACGAGACAACTTGCAAGTTATTCGAGATCGACTTGGTTAAAGCTCGACTCGAATAGGCTCGGCTCGAACTTGAGATCGACTCGATATATTAACGAGTCGAGTCAAACTACCTAATACTCGACTCGAAAAGTTCGTTAGATACTCGATTATTTTATATATAATAAGTTTTTATGATAAAATTTGTAAAATATAAATGATAAAAATGTCTTATATTTTTAGATATTTAAACAAAATTATGCATTTTTTAATTATAAAAATCAATCAATTATTTTTTTATTAAAATCACAATTAAAAAAAGACAAAAAAAAAACTATAAAAAGGGTTAGTGGAATTGTCCCATCGAAAGAGAGATGGTAAAAGAAAAGGAGAAAAGATATTATATAAAGAAAGGGCTGTAATTTCTAACTTTGTCTTTTTGATGATGAAGTTTGAAGTTGATCATTTTAGTTTTATAAGAACTAAGAGAACACCTTTAAGTTTTAAAATTTATAAGAGAAATACCCTAAAATTTTATAAATTTCAATGGGTGAGCTTGGTTCTAGCTTGTTCGAGTTCAAGCTTAATTTGAGTTGCAGTTCGAGCTTGAGAAATAGTTATTGAGTTCAAGTCGAGCTTTGATTTTTACTACTCACGAGTTTTCGAGTCAAGTTCGAGCTTGGAAATTGGGTTTCGAGTTCGAGTCGGCTATAGTGATACTAGAGCTCAACTCGCATCATTTACACCCCTAGCCAAGAGGACATCATCTCCTTATTTACCTCTAGGTTCCTGCTTATCCTAAAGCAGGCTTTATCATATTTAGGCATCAATGGATGTTTTATGGTTGATTTTGATTATGGTTTTGTATTTTGTTTTTTAAGGTGAAATCACGAGGTGAGAGAAGGTCTAGGAGAAGAAGATGGAGTTCATTGGCGAGTGATGGAGGTCGTCGAGAGGGGAGGGGATCGAAGCTGAAGAAGAAGGGGGAGGGGGTCGTCCTTCATCGGGGAAGGGTTGGAAACATTAAAGTGGAAGAACTCACGTAAAGTTTCGTCTAAATCCATGTTCGTTTGATCATGAAACGGCCACACATGCCCTTCGGAGGTGTCCCCCCACCCCCCGACCTTGGAAAAATCCCGACCCAAAAACAAGATTTTTAAGAATCAAAGAAGACGGGTTAGGGTGCATGTCAGGGGTACTCAAAAACCCGACCAACCCAACCAAAAAAACCCAACCAACCTGGTCAACCCAACCAAAAAAACTGAAAAAGAAAACTCAACCAAAGGCAACCGGCACATAGTTGATAAAAAAAAATTGGCCAAATTGCATTAATTGGGTTATAATTGTGTTAGCGTCATTTGAACCCACCCAACCCGATGAACCTAATGCCTTTGTATACTATGTATTTAATATGATTGTTAAGTACTTGATTAGTTCATGTACATTAGACATTAGACCAATCTGTAGTTAACTATATTAAAAATTATATTACAGTTTCAACTGTAATTTTACTTTTTTTATTTGCATTAACCTTCAACTTTCTTTTTTGAGTTCGTTAGCCTTTTTTGTATGTTATCATTTTGATTTTACTTCGTTTAAACACAAACAATTAGCTATATTGTAATTGATGTATCAAAGTTTCAACTCGATCAACCTGACAATTCAACCCGCACGGTTTGGGTTGGATTGAGATTTTTCAAACCGCAAATATTGTGTTATGTTATACAAATGCCTTCAATCCGATCAGCCCAGCCCATGTGCAGCAATAATACACGCTCATATATTTTTATGAAGTTAATAAAATAAAATACTAAATAAAAGAGGTTAAAGACAAAAATACCCCTGCCTGAGCTGGCTTTTTCTAACGTCATCAACCTCATGGACGAAAAGGGAAAGAAACTAGAAACCGTAGTGACAAAAAAGTAGGCTTTAAAAACCAGAGACTAATATTATTAAAAACAACAAATAACAAGGATGAAAATTGTAGTTTGCTCTTATTTATAACAAACATACAAAATAATCAAAACACCTTGGTGTCACTTGCATGTTATGAACATATAACGCTATTGCTTAACGTTTTTTGGGACGAAATCCATAATAAAATACAAACCACGAGGTTTGGGTGTATTTATTGAAGTCAAATATGACAAAATCCGAGTTAGTTGATTAAATATAGGGACAACTTTGTAATTTACTCCTTTATTAAAAATCACAACAATATTCGGTGTAATTTCATGTCATTTGTCTTTTTAAACATATTATATTTTTGTTGCATGTTTTGAAACATTGGATATGAAGGGGTGTTAATGACTTGAGTCATGTTTAATAACTTTGGTTCCAAAAAATGTTTATTAGATTTGAGCTTAAATAAATGTTTAAAAGTAGTGTTCGATCTCGAACATTATTTCCATGTTCAAACTCAAGATCGATGTTTGGTTAACAAACTTATATTATACAATATTACCTAAAATTTGAAGTCTATAGGCTCGTTAATGTGTTCGAACTCGAGATCAGTAAACAAGTTTATATACTTGAGCTCCATAATATATATATATATTTTGATTGTATAGTTCATGAATATATGAATATGTACATCATATTTGAATGACTAGGCTAGACTCGAAAAGTTTAATCGAGTTCCTGAACATTGGTGTTATGCAGCTTAACTCGTTAAAAAGATTAAACAAACGTTATTTTGTATTCAAGATCGACTCAAACTCGAGATTACAGTCAATAAATTGTATCTTTATAAAGAAAACAAATCAAAGTATGTATGCCATTCGCAGCCAAGTGGGACTGAACCAGTAATAAACTAAAAAACCGACTAATTTCTTATTGGTTCGGTTTTCAATTCCATTGTTTTTCCGACTTTTTGATGAGTTCCAGTCTGATACATACCTCTTATCGATTGTACACAAATATGAAGCAACATAAGTAAAATGAAATGTTTTTTAATTAATTAATTACATATGAAAATGATGTAATAAACACAAGGTTTTAGAACTCTATTTAAACACAAAATATCAAAATTTTAAATATGTATAAAAAACAGTGCTCTAAAAGACTTGCCACAACTGAGACATCACACCATGGCAAAAGAAGCATGTGCCACGTCATTGTCCAATGCGCAGTTTTTGTAACGTGATATTTGACTTTTTTCTAAATTTTTAGTGACTTCACTTTTTATGTTTTAGCATATAACCTAATTTAAATTGTTTAACATCATTAGCTTAATAGTAGAAATTATATGTATATATACAATTATATATATATGATATACATATTTGTCGCCAACCTGACAGGCTTTATGACCTCGTCATGACTCCTAAGGCTTGAAGCTTGACATTGCCTGTGCGCCACAACTCACGCCATCTAAAACCTTGATCGAAGGGATCTAGAGACAGATATCACACATCATATAGTCGAAGAATTATTATGTTAGAGCGGTTTTACGGAACAAGTTCCCATCGTACCTCTTTTGGTTCTACAAGAACCATTTTCCCGTAATATATCTTGGATGGGCAAAATGGGTCTTATAAAATGCACATGCATCCTAATAGAGTACATAATGAGACTTTAATTTTATAGAATCAAAAACTATATATACATCAAAAATGTCATAAAATGGCTAATATGATACATTGTTATTGGCTAACATCTTATTGGAATGCCTTTCGATAGAACACATAGTTTCTTGGTCCTATAAACTTAAAATTCTGTTATGACATCCAAAGACAGTTGGGTCGTTAAAAAAACCCATTTTGTTGCAGTCGGAACTTATTCAACCAAATCATCACCGGTGAAACAAGAAAGAAGTTTAAAAAACCGGCAACTAGTCTAGCCATGCTTCCTGCTTATTTATATTTGCAGGTGCTTATCACGTCCGCAACCAAAACTGTACAATGATTCTTCCTAAAGCTTTCTATTCTCCTACATTTGATTAATTAAACACTAGAATGGATTTAAAGAAACAGAAACACTTGCAAGATAAGTAACAGAAGGGCAGAAGATACACACTTCTGTGTCAACATTTTAGGGAAGTTTTCGGCTTGATTGATGTAGTGTATTTCCATCTGCAAGAAAGAAAGAAAGAAAGAAGACCAAGCCCGAGTTAATAAATATGTAAAATTGCAACGCTTACAAAGACTCGAAAACAGATTATGAGAGAAAGTCCAATACTAAAACAGTTGGCAGAAGTAAGTGCTTTTATATCTAATCGAAAGGCTTTAGAGCTTCCAAATGTGCTTAAGTAAGTGCTTTTATATCTAATCCAAAGGCTTTAGAGCTTCCAAGTGTGCTTAAGTAAGGGGCCGTTTACCAAATGCTTACCTGGAAAAGCGCTTACCAAGTCACATAACATTAGTGGATGAATATAGCAAGGACCAAGAATTTTACCTGGTAAGAGCGAGACAAGGAACATGAATCTTACGCGGTAAGTGAAAAAGACAACTCTTACCACAGTAAGAGCTTATCGGGTAAATTATTGCATATGGTGCTGTTTTGGTGGACTAAAATCTTACCCGGTAAATAAGTAATAGTGTTGAATTTTACCGGTAAGCACTTATCTGATAAGTTTTTGGTAAACGGCCCCTAAATGCTTTTATATCTAATCCAAAGATTTTAGAGTTTCCAAATGTGCTTAAGTTTATAATAATCAAGAAGACCAACCCCCAGATTCTGGACGTCTAGCTTTGAATTAATGCATCTCTTGACTATATAAGTTCCCAAACTTTAGTTAACAAAAAGTTATCCAGAAGTTGACCAAGAGTTTGGAAACATAACAAAAGCACAATCTGAAAAGACAAGTACAGTGTGTAAACCAAACAAAATAAGACCAGTATATCCCACTCGACAGTGGGGTGTAAGGATTACATGTACGCATAGCGGTTGTTTTCCGAAAAGTGTGTGCAAAGGGAGAACAGATATGCTAAAATATGAAAAGCTAGATAGCAACATAAACAGAAAGAGAGAGACAAATACGATAAATTTTGAGAAACTAGATATGGGTAAGCAACAATAATATAAATACAAGCATAACTAGAAAAACATAACCAAGGGGCGGAAACTACCCACTCCTGTAACTTAACTTAGGGTTAGGGTAACTTAACCACCACTCACTAACCTTGTACCTCTCCAGCTCCCTTCCTCCCGTTTAGATCCCCATGCCTAGTCTGTTACCCTAAAATCTAAATGGAAACTTCATTATTCAGTGGAAGCAACATCATGCCAGAAAAGGAATATTTGAACATCAACACAAAATGTTAACATGAAAATAACGAATATACTTAGCAACTTGCCATCGAAGAGCCTACATCTGAATGCACTTAGCAAGAATGAAAATAAAAGATCCCACTAGACTAAATACTCATAACGCGAGTAACCAACTTACCACCATCACTGTTATGTAAAGTTAACAGTTGAAATTCAATCATAATCATATTAAAATAATAAACTGCGAGACCAATACAGAAACTGAGTAGAATATTTATTTACTAATTTGGCTCTCTAAATATATGTAAATAATCCTTACTATTATTTCAAGTAATTCACTAAAAGTGCCCCTTCCAAGAACTTAATGTTTTTATGCAGAGTTTGATTATAGTTGAGACAATCTGGATTAGATTTACTCTCAAATATATGAAGGGAGCAACCCACTTTAACTGATCTTTTGAAGAAAAACTCTTTCCGATGGTCAGACACAGCGACATGCACTTTTGCCTTGCTCAAAACAGCCATGACCAATACCCCAGTCTTGGTTCTTCACGATTTACTCTACAAGTAGATTTCACAAAACAGCTTGGATCTATAAAACCAAACGAACCCATTATATCCAACATATAAGTAGGGTATGGGGGTAGAATACGCATGGGAATGGGGCAAGGACCCCAATCCCAATCCCTGTCCCCGATCCACAATCTCCGTCCCCATGATCACATCCCCATCCCCGTCCCCGGCCCCAATGGGGAACAGGGATCCCCAACGGGGAATCGGGGATTTTTTCCCCTGTTTATGTGATATATTTTAAATCAAATGTGTTAAACACCAAAGCAATCCAAAACGGTCCATGTTTAAATCTCGCATATTTCCACAATTTTGCTTTTATGAAGTATCAAATATTCATATCTTAACAAAATCACATCATCATACATCATTATTTGATTAAACGCTTTCGGCTCTCCATATTTTATATGTAAAATGGTAAAACAAGTTAGAAAAATGTATAGAAGAAGAAAGGTCAAAATACTATTATTAAATCCAAAGAATACTAAATCTAATTCTTTATAAATAACATATTTAATAATATACAATATATTTAATATACGGGGACGGGGCGGGATCGCATTACCCGGCCTCATCCCCATCCCCATCCCCATCCCTGGTTCTTAACTTTTGGGGATCCCCGTCCCCATCCCCGGTCCCCGGTTTTGCGGGGAATCCCTGTACACGTCAGGGAGGGTACACCGGGTTCCCCAATGGGGCGGGTCTCATTCTCATGCCTAGGGTAGGATGTACGCAGACAATGCCTCCACCCCGGAGGGTAGAGAGGTTGTTTTTCCGTGAAGACCTCCAGCTTGCAAAACATAAGCAAAAAACAAGGAAACATGTGAGAAAAGTAGCACAGTAACATAGGAGTGTATGCAAACACACAACAGGTATAAGAAACATATAAAAGAAAAGCAATTATATCAAGGGAAAAGAACTAGAAAAAAGCCATTTTACAAGAGTTTTAGTTACATTTATCAATGAGTGATTTTCAAATTGGAGTAAAATAAAACAATATTAAATTTTTTGTGACCCTAACATGCAAATACATAGGTTCCACTTACCAATTTCATACCGTCTTATATATTTCAATATATTTGTTTGACAACTAATGCAAATTGAAGAATTTAGTGTGGTTGATTACATGATAATACAATATGTTTTAGAGTGTAAAAGATTAGTACCAAGAATTTTCATTAGTTGATGTTCAATAACATGCATATTGAATTGTACCACATTTTATTTAGAGATTATCATTTATATCATTCAGACAGATTATTCAACACAACAAACAAAAAACAATTTAAGTTAATTCATACAGACAACTTAATTTGTACTTAATGGAATAACAACCAAACAGCCCCTAAGAGATAGAGGAAGATGCAAGTCATAAGATAAAGGCATAGTGGTTAAATTGGCAAAAAGTTTTCAGGAGTCTTGCTTGTCTTATTGAAGCTGAAAGGTAAGTTCTAATTCCGTGGGTCTGTTGGGAAACATGTTCTCTGTGGGATGGAACCAGAGATGAACGTTGGTCGGTTTGGGTTGGTTTTTTTGGACCAAGCAAACATGTTCTGATTATTGGACATGGAAATCGCCAACTGGCTAACACCAATGCGGTTTGCTACTTTCGTATTATTTTTTTCAATCGATTTAGTGGTTTGAGCCAGTAAATTGGGTTTAATATTTTGGGCTAAGATCAATCCATCAACTGAATCTTTGTTTGGGGTTTCTTCGAATTATATATGATATAATAATACTACCCCATTGTCCAATAGTTATCCTAATTTGGCTATGAATGTCAAACAAACAATTTTCAATTTTACAAATTGATTGCTATATTTAGTTTTTAAGAGAAATACTGCAAGGAAATCAAGTGTTATAAATAAATAAAAAGATTGATTTTTAAAACTGGACAGAATGAAATGTAATTATAGCTTTCATAAATACAATTTTGACATTCAAAGTCAAAGTAGGACACCAATAGTGCATGGAGGGAGTGCAACTTTATATATCCTACTAGGGTACACCGTTTATGTCTGTTTTAGGTTTTTCATATCTTATAGTTCGTTTTGATTAAATTTTTAGCTTATCACAATTAACTTGGTAAATGACTTATTGTTATTGTTTTCAGATGTGGTCGAAATTTGCTTATTAGAAAGGTTATACAATCTAAAAACAAAAGAATATGTTTTCCTAACATATGTTATTCTTGGCAATGTCTAAAAACAAAAGGCACACAAAACAAGCATAATAACAAGAAAATCCTAGCATCTAGAAGGTTCCTTTATTGGGAACACAAAACGCCATTACTAGAGTTCTAACTCTATAGAGACTCACCATCTATTACTTTTCTTCCGTGTTTCATAAAGAAACGTTCCAAAACATATTCAGGCTTCATCAAGTACATTACATCATACAAAAAGTCAAAAACTTAAAATTCACGACTTAATGAGCTCTATGATCATTATGTACACTTTTTTAGACTATTTTAATAAGATATATAATTTCATGCATAATAGATTAACATCTAGATATTGTATGATAGATTTAGATATCAATTTCACTACTTTTAACGCTTCCTATGTTAAGTTTTTCTTTATCCTTAATTCAAAACCATCATAAACTAGCAAAGGCTCATAAAATATCGTCATGAACAGCAAAGCTTCCACATACTTGCTAGAGAAAGTTTTATGGATCTATATACTTACTCAGTACACATGTTCAGATGAACTCCTTGCAAGTTGACTTGTTGTGCCCAATACACTTGCATCTGCTACATTGAAGTTGACGTTTATTTGCCTCCTGCATTCCAAGTTTCTTGGTAGGGGGGCGCCCCGGTGGACGACGAGTTGGAGGAGGTGTTACAATTACAATTGCCTGAGAAAAATCCTTCTTACCCTCACTTGGAATAGGATGCACCGATTCTGAATAAGTTAATCTGTAGCTCTCAGCTGTGAAGTATCTAGCACAATAATCATATGGATCACGGCCAAGGCAACCAATAACCGCAATTGCATGACAACAAGGCAATCCGGTAAGCTGCCATGCTTTACAACTACAATCATAATTACTAATATCAACAACTTCAATGGAATCACCACGGACCTCAAATTTGTTTCCAGCTGGGCCTGAGTTAAAAACTTGAAGTGCACAAACCTTTATGCTTTCTTTTTCTAATCTTTCTTCTCTAAATGGAGTTAGCCTTGATAACCAGTGGTTAGAAGCGGCTCTTCTAGTATAAATTAACTCCATTATCTTACCCCTTATGGTATCCACCATTTGGGTTATTGGTAGTTCATGAGCATCTGATGCCCAACTGTAAAACATCTCACCAAAGTTTGATGTCATGTGATTATATCTTGCACCCGGAAAAAAGGCGTTCGCCCAGTGCACAGGTTCACTTTCTATGACTCGATTGTAAGCTTCAAGTGAGATACTTTTGATGCTTTCAATGCACTTCTGAAAACCTTCGGGTCTTGGAGCATACGCAGCGGCATAAATATCATCAACAATGAGACGCTTCACTTCATGAGAAAACTGTCCCTTTAAATCTCTAATAAGCTGCTCCGAAAGGCAGCGTAAACAGTAAGCATGGTATACGCTCTCATCTTGGAAAACATCAGAAATCGAATTCTTTAATCCGTTCTCCCGATCAGCCACAAATGTGATCCCGTGGCATGTAGTCAATGCAGCCTTAAGTTGCTGTAAAAACCAAAGCCAATTGTTGTCGGTTATTGTATCCACAACAGCAAAAGCAACAGGAAACACATCATCATCTCCATCAGGAGCAGTTGCAGCCAATAAAGTTCCTTGGTATTTTGATTTTAATGGCACACTACCAAGAAAAAGCAAAGGCCGACAACCTTGTTGGAATCCATATAATGAAGCATGGAATGAGACAAAAAGGCGATGGAAACTTGAGTCATCTTTAGTAGTGAAAGTAGCAAGACTGCCAGGATTTGTCTCCATTATCTGCTCACAGAAAAACGGCAACTGACCATATGCGTCTTTGTATGAACCCTGAAGCTGCTCTTTGGCAATTTCTTTCCCACGCCATGCTTGAAAATAATTTAGCTGAACACCATATTGCTCTTTGATATCAGTGACAATATCTTTTGGTTTGTAATTTGGAGATACTTTTAACTTCTCCTTGATGACACCCGCCACCCAACTTCTGGTTGCCTGATGACCTGTCGTGATAATGGACCCTTCACACGTGTGTGTTGGATTCATCTTTTTAATGCAAATTAGTTGGGTGGTTGATAGCCGTGATGCGTGAATTCTCCAAGGACAGCCTTCGGCTTTGCATCTAACAGTCACACGATGGCTATCATTCTTCTTATATTTAAAAGCAAATTGATGAGCGATTGAATATTTACGCAAGGCGTCACGGAATTCATTTACGTTGTTGAATCTTTGGCCTACACCCGTAATATTGTTCTGCCATTGCTGGGCAGCTTTCATGTGCTTTTCATCAGCAGAATCAGGAAGAGATAGAGAAACAGGCAGAGGCACCTCAGAGTCTATAGCAATGTGCTGATCAATGTTAGCAATGTGTTCAACATTAGCAAGATCATCTGGCACATCAAAAGCTGAACCAAGCAGAACCCGTGGACTTATCTCGTCCATATCATCATCCAAGACACAAGGAGTGGCATCGGCAAGAATTCCAGCTTCTGACAATGTTGTTCTACTTGACCTGCATGGTCAAATGTGAGTAAATAAGCAAAAGCTAAAAGTCACAAGGACAACTAAAAAGACCAAGGGTAATAAAGGTGCGCTATGTACGCAAACGGGACTATATAGGACTCGACCGGCGAGAGTGAGGTAGGCGGGTGAAAGAATTCAAGGGTTTTGAGGTTTTAATTCGACATGGATAGTTTAGTAATTTTTCATTCTTGACCTATCCCCCTGATTTTTTCTGGATCAACTTAACGAAGTTCCAAATTTTCCTATTTTTTACCCATTTTGACCGGTAACCTGCTGATTCTTGTAATATATGATGACATGGATGTCAAGTTTATCATCCACTTTGTCATAACCATTATATAAACATTTTGTAAACAGACATTCACGTCATTATATGTTACAAGATTAGTAGGTGACCGGTCAAAATGGGTCCAAAATAAGAAAATTTGAGACTTCATTACATCGATTTAAGAAAAAAATCGTTCATTACACTAAAGAGGAACTAAACCAAATTTTGTTAAATTTGATGCATTTTGGCCTAATAAGAACACTAGAACAACTGATGAGAACTACCTACTGGCAGGCATATTTGAAACATCTGTAGCAAAAACTTCTTCCATCATGATATATACATCAATGCTGCTGGAATTGCCATGAAACTTTATCATGCGTTGAAGGTCTTTGTCATTGGAGATTGTTATAAGCGTCTTCCTGTTTCCCGGGAGAAAGTACTTGATGGACATGGAACCACGAATGCAATTAAACATCTCTGCAACCTCCATCTGGAAATCACTGTACTTCGAATTCTCATCGATATCAATGGCATGAGCATCCCCACCATCATATGACAGTGAACCATCACCAAGAGTCTTGAATACACCACCCAACTGGCATATAGCAATAACTTTCTTCCCAGTCATGGCCTAGTTTATGGCCTATGATAGAATCTATCACATGTTAGTATTTTAATCCCAACAGAGAATATTGATTTGCATACAAGTGTACAACACCGGAAACACAAGATAGTAGAACACATTCAGCATTCAAACTCTAAGAACCAAGGCTAAATCGAGAGGTCATTTGGTTAACGACCTTTTGTCAAGTTTCTTTAAAACCCATAACCTTCTGCCAGGTTTGAGAGTATCACTACTTAACAGAAGAATGTTAATTCCATATGCAAGAACGCCTAGAAATCGTCAGAAGGTCATGGATTTAAAAAGCACTTGGGAGGTCATTTAGCTAAATAACCCCTATATCGAGTCACCTTTTCAAGAAACCCGTAAAAGCACCTAAAAACAAGCAATAATTTAGGGCACTGACTAAAAAACTAAAATAGGCCACACTCCTTTATCCATGACAATCGCAGCAATTAACTTTCTAGCATTCCAATAGCATCATTGCATTAACCAACACAGGGAAAGACCCACAAGTGCAATTCATGTAAAACCCTAAATTTAAGAAATATCCCAAGGGGAAGTGAAAAACATACAATTGACCATTCCATAGGCATTTCATACAAATAGCGAAAGCAAATACGTATTCTAGGAGCATACAAATTGGCAGTGAGATACACCTTAACATCGAACTAAAAACAAACCCTAATTCAATATGCAACAAAGAACCTGAAGATGTAAAAAACAAATGAAATGAATCCCAATTGAAATCGGAATCAAGATCGTACCGAAAGAAAAGTAGTGCCTTTGAGGATGAATTTTGGAAAATTGGAACCGATGCTTCTTCTTCTGACTTCTGAGTACGAATTTTGATGAGAATTTAGGAGGAAGGAGGTGGCGGACAGGTGTCTTTGAGTTTTCATATCAAGCGGGATTTGCTAACACATCCAAATTTCACCATGACGCAAGACATAATAAATGTGGTTGGGGAAAGTTGCAGAAAAGGACAGTGTCACCCAAACTACTGCTTCTTTTGGCTTCCCACTTGAATGGGTTTCTATGTATTTGTATTTTATAATTTTATTTAAAGAAATCTTGAAAATAATCGGTTTTAGGCGTGATTTAAAAAATTACCCGCAAATATCACGATAATTAGATAGAGTAACATTTTCGGTCATTAAAATTTATTCTTGGTAGACATCTCTTCTTCGATAACTGTTAATCGTATAAGAGTCTGTTCTCTCACTTATCGGACAAGATTATCGGTTCTTACAGTAAACTTCATGACTAATCATATACTCGTAACAAATCATTATAATACAATTAATTAGTCTTTTAGGATGCGTAATAGTCTTTGGATGTTGTATCAGAATAGTTAATGAGATTTTAAGTTTATAGGAGTAATAATTATGTGTCATATCAAAAGACGTTACAATAAGTTGTTAAGATAAAGTTAGAGGACCTAAGATTTTATTAATAAAGCTTGACAACATAATATGACACAAAAAGTAAAGCATTCGACTAGTTTTTTTATATGACACTTTTGAAAAATGTCTAATTAGCCTTCTTATATAAAGGACACTTTTCAAAGTGTCATATAAAAAGATTAATAGAAGATCTATTTTTTGTGTTCTAATAGATTGTCCAACTTCGTTGATAGAACCTGTTAAGTTGTCCAAATAGTAAATTCGTCCTAATAACTTATTACAACGCATTTCAATATATAGGAATTAGGAAACGCAATTAATGGTACTATAGACTTAATGTCCCATTAAGTACCTTATTAGGACGTCTGTGCATCCTAAAAGACCAATTTCATTATATTAACTCTTGGTAATTCTAGTTGGGTTCTTGATAGTGGCACATTGTGTTATTCGACCATTAGCTTAATAATCTGTCTTCCACTACCCATATTGCTTCCACGTTTCTCTCTACACCCTCACATATGTTTTCCCTTAATAAAGCTTTATATGTTCCTACATAGAAAGCAATCTTGTGTTTATATATAAGTTATGAAACTAATACTGGTTTTTTTGGAAGCTTATCTGCTTGTTTTGCAAAAAAAGGTATGACGCCACACCATATCAGTCCCATGATTACTTAGTTGTATCTAATTACCTTGTAAAGAATTCTCCATATAGGGCAACACTTAACTAACAATAGTGTTTATGAGCGATTCATTCTACCCTCTAAGTATTCTTTGTTGCTTACAGTACTCTACGCTATTGGACACTTCATTCAGTTTGTATTTTGTGGTTTTGTCACCAAGTATGCATCAAATTGGAGAGCCAACAGTGTTTCTGGCGACTTTTACGGCTATCTAATTCGCATAAGAACCCACTTTGGTCACTCTTTGTGTGTTTCAAGCGACTGAAGGAAACAAACATCCAGGCGACTTTCCCGGAGACTTTAGTCGCACGAGAAGTCGCCCAAAATACATTGACTTCATTCCAAATATTGTACTAAACATCATCGATAGTGGACTTCTAGGTGGTCTCCTCCGCCTATGGTTTTTCCCGTTTTTGGGTTTTCTAACTAAAATCAAATGTTGTCTCTCTCCTTTATATTTATACATTTATTTACATGTGTATTGACATTCGATTGTTTGTACTATTTGTTCGTCGAAATTCTCGATATGTAATCCGTTTCCACTTGAGTCGGTATGGTTCTTATTTGGAGCATCGATTTTGGGTTTTCTTTTTCGATCTCGTTTCGAGTTTTACAATAATTGGTATCAGAGCTTCCAGTTTTGGTATTGATTGTTTTGGATTATTTATCGTTGGTTAACACTATGACTTTGGTGAAGTTTGATATTCCAAAACTTGATCTGGGTACTCAATTTCCACTATGGCAAGTGCAAATGAAGGATGTTCTAATTCAATTGGGACTTGATGAGGCACTTTTGGGCATTGAGAAAATGTCACCGACTTGGACCACCAAGGAAAAGAGAAAGAAGGATTTGAAGGCACAATTTCAAATTCGTCTGCATTTATCTCACGATGTGTTACAAGATGAGTTGAAGGAGACTCCGGCAACGACTTTATGGTTAAAGTTGGAACAGTTATTGATGACAAAAAGTCTACCGAACAAACTACACTTGAAGCAACGTTTGTTTTATCTCAAGATGGAGAAAGGTACTTCATTGTCTAGTTATTTGTCCACGTTCAAAGAGTTGTCGGTATTTAGAGAATATGGATGTGAAGTATGAAGATGGTGATTTGGCTTTATTCTTGTTACCATCGATGTCCGATTCTGAAACACCCTATAATATGGAAAGAGCGACTAATTTAAATTTTTTGATAATACACCAAAAAAAAGATAACAATCAAATATTTGAATTACCTTGAATGTTAAAAATAAAGCTCAGCATCAAGAAATGGTAAATCAAGCTTGCATAAATACTAAGTTAAGATCAAGTCTTACTTAAACATAATAAAGTCGCTATCTCTAAATGTGGAAGACGTCTCCAACTTACTAATTCCTTCTCGTGCTTCTAACTAGCACTCAATTCTTCATAGTGTCACTAGTACCACTCCCAAACGAGGACCTGATGCATATGCCAACAAATAAAAAGGGTTAGACTTAACGCCTAGTAAGTTCAAACAATTTTCGTTATAAATATGAAAGTGGTAAAATTAAAAGATGTTATTTAAATCATAATTTCCAAAATGAAATGTATTTTGTACAAAAGCAACATTCTTTCCAAACCCGCTATTTTCGCAAAGAAAACCCATTTATCAAAATGTCCCTTTATTCATGAAATTAGAACCCAATATTCACTGAAAAGTGAATAAAATTAAATGCCCAAAACATAAACAAGGTTTAATACCAAACCATAAATGATGGAAAATACTCCATACTCAACATGTCAATGAAAAACATGGATAAAACTTAATACCCAAAACAACACCTTTCGGCGATGGGAGAGACCCGATTTCCATGATTATTGGTGGAACACAAAAGTAGGCCACCATTCCATGTTATAGAGCTCATCTTGAGAATCAACGAACCTAATGGGATTAATTATTTGTGATTCATAGTTCAAGGCCCCTATGATCCCAGATACACTCATTCACTAGAAATTACATCATGTGGTCAATGGCTAGTATCCAACTTTCATAAGATTGTACAAAGTTGCTCCCCTATTACCCAATGCCTATTTCGATCTACAAAATGGGAATAATCATCCCATTAAAACCAACTTAGAAATTGCATCATGCGGCCAATGGCTAGAGTTCAACCAACCTGTGATTTATAGTTCAAAGCCTCCGATAGAACAATGTTTATCGCGGGAACGATCGTCCCATTTTAAAATTAATAAAGACCGACTCCTATGTCTATGGATCCGTTGCATTACAGTCAGTCTTTATTAATTTTAAAGACCAACCAATCCAAAGCATGTAAATATTCAAAGGAATACTCTATAATTGCATATAACACTGAAAGCTCGACATAGAGCAAATAAAACTGGATAAGTGTCCCAAGACTCATCTGAGTCAAAACTGAGCCAAAAGCTTAACAACCAAGTTGACTATTCTATAAAGTCATCAAAAGCAATAAAACGTATTTAACCAACATTTATGCAATTTCATGCTCCAAATACACGATTAACTCAAAAACACAACATTTACCGGGAAAAATCATTTTCCATTAAAATCATACCATTTATATTTCCAAAATGTCCCATAATACAACAATATACATTTTCCAAACCAAATGTACTAAAATACATTTATCACCAAATAATCTCCCTTTATAACATAAATCGTCAAAAGAAGCCAGACTTATGATTTATTCATCGAAATATCCAAAATCCCAAATACGGGTATTTCACAAGGCCAAATATACCAAATATGCAAAGCTCACTAAATAACTCATAATTTGATAAATATCAAGTAAAACATATTAGTACTTCAAAATGGATATTTTTGGTATATATATATAGTTTTCACAAAGCAAGTTGAATTCACGTTGCTAGATTTAGGCTAAATCTAGGTTTTACCCCAATATTGAACTTCCTTTGGTGAAGAGATAAAACCTATGGTGCAAGGACATCAAGAACACCTCCTTTTCTCCCAAAACATACACACAATAACCCAAGAGAGAATGAGAGTTGTTGGTGCAAAAAGACCAAACCCTAGATTTAAAGGACAAAGATGTGATCTTGCCTTCAACTTCTATGAACTCAAAAATCATCAAATAATCTTTAATCCTCTTTGTTCCCATTTTTAAGAGCTTCAAAATACGAAACCACATAAAAATCATTCAAATCGGGCAAGAAATGAGAGAGTTATGGCCAAATGAAAGAAACCCCAATTTTTAAAACCTGCAGGCTTATGCGACTCTTGGTTGCGACCCTAGGGTCACATGCCAGGGTCACCCACGTCTAGAAACCCCCTTTTCTATACATAAAGTCAGACTCTAGCTCATAGTGCAAGAGGCACGGTTCCTAGGATTTTTCCGTGTTTTAAGCTTTTCTTGCGTATTTTTGACATACAATCGAAACTCAAAACTCCCAATACTTAACAATTTCGTCCTCGAAATCTAGTGCCGATTCAAAACCCGAAAGATACTCTTAACGTATGGCTTAATTCTCAATTGTTCGATCCTTCCATGAACCAAACAAACATTGACTGAAGGGTTCCTCCGATATCGATTTCATACATTCATTTATTCGCAACGCTCTTTAACCATAAAAGGCACAAAACTCAAACGATTGCATTTTCACAACTCAATAGGTTCCCCTCCCAAAGAAGTATTTTCACCAAGCTCAAACTCTAATTGGAACCTGATTTAAAAAATTACATCCATATCAAACATGAACATTGAACATTGTCAGAGCAATTTCCAACACTAGGATTTCAGTGGCCTCCCAATCTCAGTTGACTCGTACTACCTCGAGGGTGGCTT